AACATTTTTTATTTATTTTTGGGACAGAGAGAGACAGAGCATGAACGGGGGAGGGGCAGAGAGAGAGGGAGACACAGAATCGGAAACAGGCTCCAGGCTCCGAGCCATCAGCCCAGAGCCCGACGCGGGGCTCGAACTCACGGACCGCGAGATCGTGACCTGGCTGAAGTCGGACGCTTAACCGACTGCGCCACCCAGGCGCCCCATTAAATAACATTTTTAAATGGGATTTCCAAGCCAAGGAAACATGCCTTTGTTTTTAGTTTATTGACTATTTCAAATAGTGTGTTTTTACCAGATTGGATTGTGGCAAGCAGGAATTCTATAATTGGTCTTTGATTTGTTAGTGGATATTCAAACAAACCTTCAAAAAAAGGTTAAGAATACTGGAATAAAAATTAGGCCACGAGCAGCCCCAAATACCATAACAAGAAACATAATCTTAAAAAATGTCCTGAAGATGTATGCTTTAGCTGCAGATAAAACACACACCCCTATTACCGTTGAAACTGCACTTTGTAACACTGGGTAGCCTAGCAGATACAATGCCTCAATTATTTTTTGGTTTACTGAGGGCTTAGAACTGGAAACAAATGTGTAAGAAATGTGTGCAGAAAAATCGACAGAAAACCCTATACAAATGACAAGATTAATCATGGATATGGAATCAAGATTGACATTCCAGAATGCCATGAACCCTGTTACTCCCACAATCACAGAAGCAATAGCAAAAGTTACCCACAAGGAACACAGTGGGTGAGGAATTAGCAATAAGGAAACAATGAACCTATGTTCATGTTGAGGATGCAACAACGACATTTTGAACAGTGTTTTCTAATATTGCAGTGTACTGATCAAAATATATGAATGCCGGGTTGTACACCATTAGGGGAATTTCACACTTTTTGGCTATGCTTTGTAACTGGAATAACATCATCTTCTTATTGGTTGAAGAAGAAACGCCGATGGTCTGAATGAAGCCCCAGGAAGCAATGATTTCATGTGAAGATGAAATATTAAATCGTACATAAAAAGTGGAAAATTTGTTAAAAAACTGGGCAAACTGTTTATAAAAGTATTCTTATCATTTACATCTTGCCCGCTATTTTCCATATATTGCACATACTCTTGTAACCAAAACTCTGTAACATTTTTTTCTACATAGTCCCTGTTTTCCAAATCTACCAGACATTTTCCCAGTTTTTGCCTAGCATCTTTATCCCGTAGTCAAGAGTTTCAGTAACAATAACCATAACCCTGGGGCCATAATCTGAAAAATGTTCTTCTACATTAAAAAATGGTGTGATGTAGGAATCGTCACTTGCCAAATTTCGAAGGTCTAATGCTTCCTGCACTTGGAAACACCCATGTATACTACTAATGATGTACAAAATGTATAGAAGCACTACAAAAAACTTGGACTCAGTGCTTGTGAGAAAAGGGCCAAAATAGTCTCTGAAGAACAAATTCATTGGATGGACATCAGTTTCTTGTTCATCTGGGAGAGAATCACATGGGACACAGCAGGACTTTTTAAATGAGGAACACTTTTGGTCAGGAGTTTCTGGCTTTTTCAACCAGCGTAGACAGACTACTTCTCTTTTACCATCCAGGGCCATAAACGCTCCAAAACAGGTGATGTTATAAAAATAACAAAAGAACAGGGTTGTTCCGGTATAAATGCAAAAGTATTGTACAGACCTGAAAGAGGTCATCATCCCTGTATAGAAGGCCAGGACATTGGCGATAGTGGTGATTGTAATGGACACTGCCACTTTGGAATAGACACTGGACAGCCGCTGTTTGATATTATCCATGAGGCTGGTCTTCTACCAGGCAGAAATCATTATAAACATATCATCAACCCCAACACCTGTTAAAAAAACAAAGAATATTAAATATTAACTTTAATATTTAATATTAATATTAAAATATCAATATCTATGAAAAATTAAACACATAAACTCGAAGCATCTTCATTTTCCATCTCTTAGGTCTTATTTATCTTGCCTGATCTGTGCTTTGATACTATTACTTTCTCTGTCACTTTCTCTGGTTGCTTCTGAATCCACAACAGAATCCACCCCTTCCTCTGTAATAACTCTGTGCTTTATTCATACTCTTATTATTTGTACATAGCACAGGATACTCTACTCCTACGCTTCATTTAGGGTGTTGTAATGATGAGTCAGGAAACCTATTGTAGGTGTTAGTCGAAGCAGGATTAGCATTGTATCTTTGATTCTACTGGATGACTTGAAAGACCATTTTCTCTCATAAACCATCTTAATGAATGCACAAACACACGAAGCCAACATTCTGTTGCTTAAAATATAAACTGGACTTATCTATTGTACAGTTAGCATCTAACCAGCAATGTTTTCACCTCTCTCAAGATTTCTACTAGAGTTGACATTACTTTCACTCATGTATACCTTTGTTTCCATGTATATCGATACAAACTCAATAAAATAAATAAGGAAATTAACTGCAATAAAATGCTGATCTAATTTCAATTTGGGGGGATCTTGTGCATGGATTACATGGGAGGGTACTGGGAATTGCAACTTTGCCTCTGATGTTTTACGGGTATGATCAAGAAGACAGAAGAATCTGTATTGACACAAGTCTAAACATTCTGTCATAAACTGCATCCTGACATCCCATGGCTTACCAGCTTTGAGGATTTCACTTGGGCTCAGCAGCACAAAAGGGAAGAATCAGAAGTACTAGGGACCAAGAATGAACTCTTGATATGTATTAGGTATTGAAAAACTAGTTTTGTGATTTATAGAAACTTATTCAGAAATTGTCCTTGAACACTTCTTGAGTTGCTTAAATCACACACACACACACACACACACACACACTCCTATGTACACACGGACTATTCAGTGCTGGTTTATATTAAATCAATTATGTACACTTTAACTATAGTTATTTATGGCTGTGGGGAATACTGAGTGACTAAGCGTGGGTGTGTAATAGGTAGGTGGGTCCTGAAGAGTTAGAGTAAATAAGTTGACATCCAGCAAACAGCTTTTCCACGGTCTCCCCATGGAAACCAAATACTATTCCTTCTAAGTTCCTTACTTTCTAAAATATAGAATGGATAAAGAAGATGTGGTTTATATATACAGTGGAATACTACTTGGCAATGAGAACGAATGAAATCTGGCCGTTTGCAGCAGCGTGGATGGAACTGGAGGGTATTATGCTAAGTGAAGTAAGTCAGGCAGAGAAGGACAGATACCATATGTTTTCACTCCTATGTGGATCCTGAGTAATTTCAGAGAAGACGACGGGGGAGGGGGGAGGGGAAAAAAGTTACAGAGAGGGAGGGAGGCAAACCATAAGAGACTCTTAAATACTGAGAACAAACTGAAGGTTGATGGGGGGTGGGAGAGGGGAAAGCGGGTGATGGGCATTGAGGAGAGCACCTGTTGGAATGAGCACGGGGTGTTGTATGGAAACCAATTTGACAATAAATTTAACAAAAAATAAATAATTGGTATCTCTTTAAATTAAAACAATAAAATATAATATAAACACCTTTGTTTTTCATGCTTATTGTAAAGTAAATTCTGGAAGTACATGAAAATGCAGAGAAAAAGTATAAACAATAGTAATTCCACCCTGCATTTTTATGTATATCCATCCAGAATTTGCTCTATACAAATATGCACATATAACTGTATCTCTCTATTTCAAACACCTGGTTTCATAGCCAGCATTTTCCATTTAACATTATATATCTACCTCCTTTTGAAGACTGAATATGATTCAAAAGTATTAGTATGCTGTGTTTGAGTTGACCAATCCCATGTTGATATTGAATTAGGTTTTCAAAACTTTTCTGTTCTAAATAATGCTGAAATGAACATACTCGTTCTGCTCTTTGAGCACTTGTCTAATTGTTAAGACAAATTTCTAAAAATGGAATTGCTAAGCCAAAGATATTTGCTGTTTGATGTTTAAATCTTTTGATTTGTTGCAAAATTGGATTTAAAAAAGTGTGTAACAATTTCTAATTTTCTCCCAGCAGAATGAGTATTCATTTATATACAACCTTCCTCATATCTTCAATCTTGCTAATATTTATTAATTTAATAAGAAGACAAGGTATCTCACTTTTGGTTTAATTTGCATCCATTCATTAATTGAGAAGTCAAATTATTTTTTCCCTCTACTTCCAGTGATTTATAGTTTGGATTTTGGATGTGTGTGTGTGTGTGTGTGTGTGTGTGTGTGTGTATGTGTGAACTGCCTGTTCATGTCTCTTGTCTCTGTTTTTCCATTTGGGGTACTAGATTTTTCTGCCTCTAAACACACACACTTCAAGTTGATTTTCTTCTCTCCTGTCACCTCATTTTGGATCTGTGGAGCCACCTGAATATAATTATTTTGCTTAATCTAACATAAATTCCTTCCCTTATCTACCCCATACCCCCACATACACAATGTGTAGCTTCACATTTGGTTTTACTCACCTAGAATAAGAAATGGTGAATTTGCAACTATGATCACCAATGGCACCCCAATGTACAACCTCAGGCCAAAGCCGTTCACCACTGCCAAGGCAGCAGAAATCATTCCAAAGGTTGCAGCCCACATTTTGTTTCGTACACAGTCACACCTGTACATTTGGAGGGAGAAATCATGGAATTTGTGGTGGTAGCTTCCACACTGAAATTCCATCAGTTTATAACATTCTCGACTTGGACATCTGTTCAGAAAGCTCTTGGGCAATAATTCCCATACCTGTCTGCTGAAGACCTTTAATTCCCAGACACTGTCCCAGACCAAGTGGGAAAAAGGGCGGAGGGAACAGAAAAGCTGTGAATTAGTACTTTTACCAAACTTCTGAGCAATTCTTCTGCGGCTGGGCAAGCACAAATTCACTCACCACCAGTTCAGAGCCATAAAGATATACCAAATACTTCAGATGGTTAATTACACCCTGATCTTCAAAGGGTATAAATGGAATACAACAGCAAAGGGAGGGCAAGCTTAGCAGAGAAAGTATCCATATTCAGTGCTCTTTTCACCCACCCTTGACTCCAAGTAGCCATAGATGCAATTCTAAACAGCTCTTGAATTTCAAAACCAGTTCCATATGTATTGTGATTAACAAAATGTATGAAAGTATTCTCCTAAAACGTTTTCAGGATTCTTGTCTACTGGTGAAGCGGGCTCTAGGAAAGTTGCTACTAATTACAAAAGAATTAGAAATGTAGTCCATTTTTGGGGTGCCTGGGTGGCTCGGTCGGTTAAGCAGCCAACTTCGGCTCAGGTCATGATCTCGCGGTCCGTGAGTTCGAGCTCCGCGTCGGGCTCTGTGCTGACAGCTCAGAGCCTGGAGCCTGTTTCAGATTCTGTGTCTCCCTCTCTCTCTGACCCTCCCCCATTCATGCTCTGTCTCTCTCTGTCTCAAAAATAAATAAACGTTAAAAAAAATAAAAAAAAAAAG